TTGTTGGTCACACATTATAAAGTCTCACAATACTATCCCTATAGAAATCAAAGATGAAACCGATTATATATTCTAAGTATCTTAATATGTAATAAAGCATTTAATGATTCAATGATTTATAACAACTCAGTTATTGATGACATACAATTTAATTCATTCAAAAATAATATCGTGTAATTATTAAATCGAATTATTTGTAGGGGATTTCATATAGGTTGAATGTACTTCTTAATAAAAACTAATTTCAACTGTGAAATAAAGTCGGTTTTATTCTCCTTGGGAATATAATTCATTAAATTCTGATTTAGTTTTTTTAAATGTGCCTTGTTCTCTGTGAAACTTTCAATCCTTGAGTTTGATCTTATATATTGTTACATGTTACTGATAAGTAACTTGATAGACATCGAATTCTGATGGAAGTTACTTCCATGTTTTCATAGATTATATCATATCATATCCTATGCATCATTGACGTTTAATCTGATGTGATCCCATACTGTTTTAACAATCTCACATTTACTAACTAAATAAAACTGAAAATCGAATTAACGGTTATTACAAGACAGTATTCATCAGGGATTAAATTTAGCTTGTATATCATTCAAAAAGTTAGAGATCACTGGAGGAGTGTTTCCATCCAGTATGATATTCTTCAGTAGTACATGCAAATTACGTCGTCAAAGATTAAACAGAGAACTTGTACTGATTACTCAGTGACAAATTAACCATTAAACCACAGGGTTAAATTATGATTAATTTTTGCTAATAAAAAGTGACTGATGTATATTATTTAATTATTTTTCCTTAATTCATTAATCTATCATATATATATATATATATATATATATATATATATATATATATATCCTTTTTTATTTATTTACCTAATTCTTCTAATTCCTTGTCAGTTCTATTAGGTTACATTGAATTTCATTGAACATTTAAGGTTAACTAGATCAAGTTCATTAGTTCACAATTATTATTATTATTGTTATTATTATTATCATCATTATTAACGATTGATTGACATTTATATAATTAAATTCAATAGATAAATTAGATTAATAATTATCAGTATACAATTTGAATATTTTCCAGTGAAAAATTGAGATCACTTTAATTAGGATAGTTATTTTCCCTTATCCATCCATTTCATTGATACATTATAATGATTCAAGACGATACTCTTTTGTGTTAGATAATACATTGATGATGTGTAATTGTTTCTATAGTTTATTGATAATCTTTACTGAATCACTCATTTGTAGTATCTGACACATTTTCATGATAAAACAAGATCATATACATGAATAAGTGATGTGAGAAACACTTAATCTAATCTATCAATGCATTTCAATATTTGGTTAGTAAGGTTAAGTTTTATAGATCAACAGTTCATATTCATTCATGCATCTAGTCCCTTTTCAACTTTATTTACACACTAAATTACATCGGATATATTTTAATTTGATAGATTGTTTCGATATTTATAAAATCATTGTATGAATGTGTCATATCTAAGCAGTAAAGAAAGAAAGAAATTGATAATAAGGCTTAAGAAAATTTTGAATCAAATGAATGTCTACACGAATATTCATCAAAATTTGAATGAGCATTTAGTCAAAAAAAAATTGAGGCCCAGATATATAGAAAGTATTATATATAAAATTACACTTGTTATTCAAATAATTTCAAAGTTTCTCCTAGTAATCTAACCTGATGTTCCTCACGGATATGATTAAACATAATGTTGCCATAATGTTACATTTTAAAGAGTCTTTCATTATAAACTATGATTTAAACGTTTAGTGCATATATGAATATCTTGAATTCTATAAATGAAAAGTCTTAAAATTTTAATGAAATAATGATTTACTACTGAAAAGTTTTCATTTTGAAATTATCCATTAAAATCTCTATCAAAATCTATTACATTTCAAATTAATCTAATTATCAATTAATAAATACTTATAAAAACGAAATGATTTCGTTTCAATTCTACATGTATTAATGATCAATTGATAATGTAATTGTTTGTATTAAATAAATAAAAAAAGAAATCATTATAGAACAAAGGTCTTTCTCTTTATATAAATTTTATAATCAATCGATAATTGTAAACTTTGACTATTAGGCATTTCATTTTAATTCATAATATCAAGGTACAAATATGAAATCAATTATTCGTATATAATTAATTATCGATTTTATTTTCATTATAATAATCAATAATATTTGAGTAACGATTGGTAAAATTTAGTGTAAGGCATTGAATTTCAAGTAATTCAAGTTAATCAATAGTAGTTATCATTCTATAAAATGTAAATATCATAAAGATTAGGTTGTTTGAGACAATGATGAATTGTTGTAATAGTAGGATACCTGATTTTGTGAGACTCGATACTCATCAGTAAGGAATGTCTACGAAATGATTTCAATTGGTAGTATCAATTGAATTTGAACCTGAGTCACACAGTGTCCTAATGTTAATAAACATTATCACAAAGCACTTCAGGGAACTATCAACTACTTAAAAGATCGAGTTATTTATACATTAATTAATTATTGAGCGTTAATCATTGTCTTTTCTAGACTGTAAATGCAATTTCTGGTCTAGATGACTATATATTATTGTACATTCCGTTCAACATCATTGTAGTCTCTTATGTACAGATATCTCTCTGTTTATTTATATAGAAAAAGTAAATATATTCAGTAGTTATAAGAATAACAACAGTAATATAACGTAATAATCAGTTACAAATTCATGTAATTAACTTCAAAGTACATATATTATGTTATAAATAAGCAATTGTTTCATGTTTCCCGAAGCACAATAGAAAGAGTATAGCGATTAAACCTACATTCGAGAGATGAAATAATCAGCAACTATAAGTTTCAAGTTATCATTCATCTATTCCCATCGGTATTAACATTAAACAATCTAATAATATCAGAAGGGGTTTTTGGAGATTTTAGAAATTTCACAGATTGAAATCATGAGTCAGTTGAACCTAGACCACCATGGAAAACCTGGTTGAAGTTAGAAATTGACATCATTAGATGCCGGCTCAGTGGTCTAGTTGGTTAAACACCTGGCACGAGACTGATAGGTCCTGGGTTCGACTCTCGCGGGGGGCGGGATCGTGGGTGAGCACTCCTGAGGAGTCCCATACTAGGACGAAACGGCCGTCCAATTCTTCCAGGTTTTCCATGATTGTCTAGCTTCAATTGACTCATGATTTCAATCTGTGAAATCTAATAATAATAATAATGATCTTTCCTTTTTGTTACACCAAAAAAAATAAAATTTTATCGGAAATCACTAAACTGTATAGATTAGTATTACATTTAAAATAAATATATAAATGTTGGTTAAATTGAGAATTAATTAAGATAATTAATTAAATTACTTATAAAAATTGATTTATCAATCTATTTTGTTAATTTTAAATTTGATTTATGTGGATCACTTCTTTTTCTCTTTAAAATAAATCACTCATTATATATCACCTTCTTTTCCGTTTTCTTTCTCTTTGAGACAAAATATTTGGGTTTATTTTCCTCATGTAAGTCATTCAATAAGTTTATAATTTTATAATATGTGTAGATATTCTGTTAAGAGATAAATGACCAAGGGAAGACCTGACAAAACGGTCATCCAATGTTTCCAGGTTTTCATTAATGGTCTAACATCAATTGGTTCATGATCTCTTAATAGAAGACCTGATAAACAAGTGGAAGAGTTAAATAAATCAACAAATATTCTTGCTCTTAGATACATACACGCACACACAAACACACCCGAAAACATATATATACACTCGTGTATATAACTATGGTGAATGAGTTAAACAGGATTTGTTATAAATACATTAAACTTATTGATCAAAATGTAACAGAATAATAATATAAAGACTAAACAACATGGGAATAAAATCATCTATTCATGTATATATGTGAAAAAAAAATAATAATTCTGTTTACATTTGGTTTAAAATATGGGTCAATCTTTTTCTTTGGTTCTTTTGTTCAATTTCCAAAGTACAATATTTCTAGTGTATCGAAATTATGTATATACATTTTCATAAGTAAATTAACAATTCATTTATTAGAATTTAATTTAATCAGTTTTAACATAAACCATTATTGACAATATTTGTAACAATAATAGAAAGAAAGAAAGAAAAAAAAGTGGAAAGAATAGAAAACAGATGAGAATAAAACAAGATAACTACCATTTTTATGTATAAATAAATCTTAGTGATATCATTCAAAGGTGATTTGAATATTTTGACTGGTTAGTTACTGGCTAGTTAATTGTATAGTGTGATTAAAGTATTTGAACTATTGAGTAGTAGTAGGTTTGAATAATTGTTGAATTTAAATAATCTAATAGTATCATACTAATCTTTACATTAGGGCTATCATCTATTGGTTTAATACACTAAGTTATATTTGGTTACTGAATTATCATGATTTAAATCATAAACTGATCTTAATTAAACCACTTCAGAAAACTAAGAAGCATTGAACCTGTGATTCATTATAGTATGAGACTATTCAATAGCAGTGCGCATCCACTATCTTGACAAAGAGAATCTAATTCAAGACTTTCTGTTCGCGAGAGAACGCTAAACTTCTAAACTGCGAGGTTAGACGCCCTGGATTTCATTTCATTTGGTGGAATCATGGATATACACTAATGAGGAGTCTCACATTACGGCGGAACGGTTTTCTAGTGCTTCAAGACCTTCAATGATGGTTTAACTAAGGTTATTTCATGAATTTTTCGGTACCCCTTCACTAAGTGTGGCTGTAGAGACGGACATAAACCAGTTATGCTTCTATAAATAACTTCTAAAGCTGTTGAATCATCATGAAAGTAATTTTTAGAATAACGATCTCTTTTTATGTATTTTCTTAAAAAAAGAAGAACGTTTTCTGCTTCATCAATTTTTTCTTCCTGTTTTCTTCTTATAATTTCCTATTTTTTGTAGTTTGCAACAAATGAACATGATGGATGTTGTCTACCAACTGCTTTACTAACACCTGTTATAACACCACCAAATTCATTGAATAAAAAATCAATAATCTTTGGCAATAACTGTTCATCCCATGATGATAGTGAGAATTTTGAGGATGATGAAAATGAAGGAAAAAAAGACGAAGAGAAAAAGGACATATGCCTAGAATCTTCGTGTTGTTCATCTTTATACTGTACATCTAGTCCTCCTCCACAGCTTGAAATCAATCCTTCCACTTCAATGAATATGATAAAAACAACAGCAACTACATCCACTACTATTTGTAAACATGAATACGATAATAAACCGCATCGTGTAATACGTCGAAGTCGTAAACGTCATTCTAGTTGTGAATTATCACTGTTAAATGCAGAGCATAAACGTTGTCATTATGAAGATGATTCAATTGACAAATGGAATTATTCCTATCCATATGTCAATTCAAATTGTTCGCCATGTTACAAAAATCATCTTGTGAATAGTCAACAAGTTATGGTATCTTCTTCATCATTATCTCATTCTTCTTGTATTCCTATGCTAAATAGTAATACTAATACTACTCTCACTGCACCTAGTAACAGTAAGTCAGTAAAGTTATCGAATTTCTATCGTGACTGTCAGCATCAACAGACACAGAAATCTATTAATTCTGAAGTTGATAATGATTCGGCTTGTCATCTGGTACGACTACTACAATTAATGACAATCCACAAATCTATTCACCATTGTCCAATACACCGTTACCAATGAACTTCCCACCTTATCCAGCTTATATGAACCCAGTGTTTTTATCAGCTTTGATGGCTAGTGGTTGTTGGCCGTTTAATTCATTCCCTGGTAATAGTAGTGGTAATAATACTAACAGTAATAATAGTAATAATATCACCTCTAACCCATTTGATCCATGGCATGCATCCAATATTGCTTTAGATTCACTACAACAAACTGCTTCCTTATTTGGCAATAATCAACGATTATTATCAAATTCAAATAATTTCCCGCCGGTTCTATCTCCACCATGTGATGCATCATCAGTTCACTTAAGTAAAAGTCCAAGACATCAAATAGCAGATGAATCAATGTCTAATTTACAAGATTTTAATCAAATCAATTGTCAATTGAACAAATTATCAGGATTCTCATCATTAGCTAATACTTCATGTCTAAATAATAACACTAATCATAATAATGTTTCAACAAGTCAAAAGAATCTTTTCAATTATCCACCATTTATTCAACCGTCAAATTTTATAAATGGAGCGTCAACAAATCCACTTTTATTACAATTAAATAACTGTCCATCATTAACAGATAATAATCAAAATATATTGGCTACAGCTTTATCTGCCTGGTGTACGCAACAAGCAGAAAATATTGGTTTATTTCCATATCATAATTTATCAGGAAGGAATTCATCAATTCCACCATTGTTTACTTCTAATACACATAATACCTCTAATATTACTACTGATAATCACGATAACAAGATTATTAGCAATGATAATGAATGTATTTCTAACAGTTATCGTAATAATAATGATAGGAATAATGGTAGTATCATAACAAATTTATTGAATAATGAAACAAATGAAAGTCAAGAGACAAATGATAATAAACTAAATATCACTTCGTCGAATTCAACTATCCCATTTAACTCGACTCAAACAGATCCAGGCATCTCATCAGCTTCTTCATCATCATCATCATGCGTTTCCTCAATTTCATCAGATGAAAATCAATTGAATTCATCGGTATTTATAAAAACTTCTCCAAAGTTAAATAATACAAATGATACCATTGGATTATGTTCACGTCCTCCTCGTCCTCCTCCTCTCCCTCTTGCTGCTTCTATTCCACCATCAACAGCCCGTTGTTCTTCAACATCACCATCATCGGCTGCGAATCAATAGCAATAACAAATTCTACGGTAAATAGATCACCAAGTGTTCAATCAACATTTAATTCTATCTTAAGCACTAATTGTTTAAATTCAAGTCCATCTCAATCAATCACCAATTATCCAGCAACAGTATCAACTGGATCCACATCTTCATTAGCAGCAATGATGACAGCAGCGGCGGTAGCTGCAGCAATGGCTGGTATATGTCGATCTAATTCAGACGTATCCAAGTGTATACCATCTCTGTCAACGTTTTCACAACCTTTATCCCCTTCATCATCATTGTCATTAGCCGGATCAATATCCCCAACAGCAGCGGCAGCAACAGCAGCAACGTCTGCATTTCCAACAGGACTTAATCAAACTTTTCAAAATTTAGATTTGATGAATTTACCATCAAAAGAATTCCATGATGAATTATTGAATCATCATGATATGATGCTTATGAATGGACAACAACATCTGTATAGGAATGCAATACAATCGAAATATTTAAGACATTCACAACAGCTACATCAGTATACACATACTACTAATAGTAATGCTAATAATATTAATAGTATAATAGATTATACAAACGATGGATCAGTCACTGAAATGGAAGATATTGATGATGAAGTAATTGAAGAGAATGAAATGCCGGGTGATAATGAAGATGATGAAGAATTTACTGAAGAAATGTTATTACATGAACGAATAATTCATAGTAATGATAATAATAACAGTAAAGAATGTAATGGATTAATAGATGAACGTCCAGAAAATGATTTATCATGTGGAACGAATAATAAACCAGTTGTTAAATGTTCAACTGGGTTCAATAATGAAATAGGCAGTACAAGAAACTCAAAAAGTAAGTTATAATATTTTAATGAATTTATTTATTGGCAATAAAAGCTTGGTTGTAATGAATTATTATGGATATATATATATATATATATATATATATATATATATATATATATATATATATCACTCTAAAATGAAATTGTTGGATATATACTTCATGATTATTTAGATGCCATTATATTACTTAAATTGAACCATGTTCGGCAAGACTAAGTAATGTTCCTTGTAAGAGGTTGTATTTTTCCTTTTTTGATGTTAAGGGATGTAACTGATTAATCTATACTAGTTTATATGGATCACTATTAGATTGACAGGATATTGCCATTTAGTAACAATATTTTAAAATTTGTGTCTAACACACAAGCCAGTAACTATCTGGACTCAATAGTTCAATGGATAAGTTAAAAAAAAACTATTTTCTAATTCAATCTAAAGATCAACATTGGAAAATCATTAATGCATCAACTGAACAAAACGCATGTTCTATATTCTGATGCTAATCAATAACCGACTTTAATAACAAATAATAATATTTTTGGGCTTAAGTTAAGAACCTAAAAGCAAAGAGAAAGCAAATGTTAGGCATTTCTTAATTTCACATGGCTTCATATTTTATAGTTATCAGTAAGGCGGTTTGTAGAGATTGTAGTATTTTTAACAACTGAATTCATGAGTCTACCTAAGCTAAACAGCCACTGAAAACCTGGAATCACTGGATCGTCATTTCGTCCTAGTATGTCACAGCAGTTATATGAACTTGTTTGTTTAATTGTAAACTTTATAATTATCCTTCCAGACAGTTCTAAAAACAAGCTGCTCAGAGGTTCCTTATACTGAACGTTCTATTAGTTTTAGATGAACTGTAGCATTTAAATGAAAAAAACCCAATAATTTCATTGTTATTGATACTGTTAGCTGGAATGATTATACTTCGATAACTAGTCATTAGGTTAGACAATGGTATTTTTCTAAAATCATTTTTTCATAACAATCAAACTCATACAAATGATAATAATAATTCCTAATTTTAAAGTATAGATTGTCTCGAATTCAGCTAACAAATAGTGAAGTTCAGAAATAGAGGGGATTTGTGATGATTGTAGAATTTAATAGTTTGTCTCACTGATTAATCTCAGTCAAATAATCATTTAAATCAGGAATAACCTGCGATCTGTTTCACTTCAGTATGGGACTCTTTAGAAGTAACACACACTCACAACACCATCACAGGGGACCGAAATCAGGATCGTTGGTGTCGCGCAAAAACATTTAGCCTCTAGACCACCAGCTTCCAATAGTCATCATGTTTAACTTCGGTAAATATAAACTTTGAAAACTCAGTAGTTTCTTTAAATTTCTTTGACTAATAACTCATCACAAGTAAATAAATATGGTAGCACAATATCGATAATTGATCGAAGCTAGACATAATACACTATTAGATATTGACTGAATGGTTTATGATTTAATCATTTACAGAGAAATTAAAGGTTTTAGATTTAATTCCTAGTGAGATCGTGGATATATAGGTCAAGGGAGTCCTACACTAGGACGAAACAACTATTTAGGACTTCTTAGTTTTCAATAGTTGTCCAAATAAAACCATCTTTTAAATCCAAACTATGATAGTCAACAATCTTCACAAATCACTTGTAGAATTACATAATTCATAAAATACATAATCATCGACAAATATTTATTATGATTACTGTCATCAATAGTAATGACAATTAATAAACTCATATATTGATTACAAAGTATTTTATAAATATTTATAGATAAATACATAGTTGAACTAAGGTTATGATGATTATTTAAAACTATTTATCTATTTCATCTTGTGCATAGAAACACACACACACACACACACGATTTCATAAGATAACAGTGTAAACAATGTACATTATCTTTCTATCCAACTGATTCAGGTACTTTTCATTTTATCAAAAGTAACTGTGTACAGTTTAATTTTAATCAGTATTTGTGTATAGTATCTGTTTTTCTATAAACATATATGATATTTATAGTGTTGTTTCCTTTTTTTATTTATTTGAAAAGCTCTTTTCAAATAAGTAAACATAACTAAACGTAAACATGCAACTACATGGATTGTATGTACACTATCATATGACCACAAATAAAATACTCAAAAGTGTTTACACACTATAGACTATAATGATGGTGTTTTCCATTTGCTTTGATGATAATTTGGTTGACTAACACAATTCGTTAGTTGGATGATTGAATTAATAATCTCGAATAAAGTGATTGATATGTTATTCTGTTGAATTATTCATTTATTTATTATAATCCACCTATTATAATTGTCATAGTAACGGTATTTATAATACTATTTGAATAGTATGTTATGATATCTTATCTGAACAAAAAAATATTGGGTCATAGATCCATAGATCCATAAGTATGCAAATATGAATGAGATAAAGCAAAAACCTCGATTAAGGTCATCTTTATCAACCCTCCCTTCATTATTCGGTTGTAATACTTATCCTGTACCCCATTCATTCAACCATACCACACCCCACCACTTCCTTTGCTTTATTTATTTACTTTTGTGTATATACAATCCTTTTTGATGGAAAAATGCTGATGTTAAAACACATGCAGCTATGACAACCAAAAACTCATTTTACTCTGTGTAAATATATATTTTTTTAAAATGAGTATAAGATGGATAGGTTTAACTGCTTGAAATATGAGACTTGCCAGTCTGTATTTACATATAATATTCATGCAAATTTTTACATACATATCAATGTACGTATATTGTATATTATTTGCGTGTTTTATGACCACATGACCAGATGCTTGTCAATAATGAGTTGATAGTTTACTCTTAAGCTTGTGTCAATCAATCAGGAGTGGTCGATCAGTTTTTCTATCTATCCATCTACCTATCTATTCATTAATTCACTCATTCATCTATTCATCCACCACACTATCTATCTAGCAAGTCAATTATCGATCAGATAGGGCTTACAAAATTGGTCGCTATATATTTCTTCTCTCTATCTATCCGATACCCTAACATGACGATGATAATGCAAATTATTTGATGGAAAAATTTGAAAGAGTGACATTGAAATTTATTTAATTGTGTGTATTATATACACATTCATGTATATCATTAGTATTGTGGATTCAGAAGTGTGTACATAAGTGGTTGTTGTATGTTTGTCTTTTTCAAATGTCATCTCACATGTTTGAATCCCTCTTTTCCTATCTGGAAAAGAACATTTTGTAAAGAAAGAAATGTACAAAGGGGAGTATTCAATTTATATCCAGTATCCAGTTTTTCAAACCAATGAATTTAAATCTGATCTGAACACACTATGTAAAATAAAAAAAGTGGGGGGATGTAACTAAAATAATAAATAAATAAAATAATTAAGACAAAATGGAAATGACAAAGGGTAAATGTGACTGTATGGTTGAACGAAAAATGAAACAAAGAGGCATTAGAAAAGTTGTCTAGTCCACACATTCTCAACATATACATAACACACACTCTTATATATATTGTCACCTGTGTTATTTTCAGAAAAAGAATTAATTATAACAAATATGTAACCGACTGTTTAAAAAATTTGTGATCGACTATGCTTTTGCCCTCCTTCTGCTCTTACCTATTTTCAAGCTTAACCACAGAATTTTTTATCGTAAGCTTTGAGTTTTATACCGATCAAATCCCAAAAGGTATGCGCGTGTGTATTGATTAAAATCTGGTGAACAAAAAATGAATGACATTGACCGGTTCTAAGCAATTTACCTTTCTTATAATTATTTACTAATCTTTTTTTTATCAGAAGGGGTTTTGTGGAGATTTTAGTAAACTCAATAGTTGAAATAATGAGTCAATTGAAGCTAGATCACCATGGAAAGCCTGGAAGCACTGGACGGCCATGTCATCCTAGCATGGGACTCCTCAGCAGTGCGCATCCACGATCCCGCCCCCTGAGAGATTCGAACCCAGGGCCTATCAGTCTCGCGCGCGAGCGCTTAACCACCGTTGGATGTCGGCTCAGTGGACTCATTCCGAAATGGATATTAATATCTTTGCATAAGATTATATTGATAGAATTAGGTATTAAATCGAATCAACTGAAGAATATTTTTCAATATTGACTAATTCATAATAAAGTATATTTGATATCATCGATAAGTAATTATTACAACTTGATTAATTCCATGGATCATGGTTTCTATTGAGATTTTAATACGTAAAATTTCTTAAAGATTATTTCATGATTAGTAAAACCAATACTGATTAAAATACAAAAAATTATTATTATTCTATATTTATTCAGAGAAATGCATCGATAATTAATAGATCAAACAACTAAACCATTAAGTACAATGTTCCAACAAAATTTGATATTTAGTTCTGTCAAGGGAAATACAAATGATCTAAGTGAAGATGTATGTTAATGGAAATATTCACATCTCAAATTATTTACTATAGATTTATTTATCAATTAGTAAAGATGAATAAGAATTATGTAATATGCACCGTTAGTTGTATTTATCTGGGCTACCAGCTCCTGCCATCTAGATATTTTTAAAAGTTATCTGTTTCCTTGCTTGTTTTAACACATTATTATGTCATTTGAGCGCACAACCTATTCAGGGGCGTTTATGAAAGGTTTACGACATTTCACTGTACAGGTTACAAAAAGGTACAATCAGCGACATCATGGTGGCTGGTAATATACATTGAAAAGAATGAACATTATTCAGATGTTGATTACCTAACTTAACATCTAATTGGCAATCACTCAATATTTATCGTAAGAATCGATCAAGAAATAAGAAAATGAAACTTACTGAAATACTTTGTGCTGAGAATTCTATATTTTACCAAAAAATATGATACTGAATAAAACTAATAATGATAATAATAATAATAGTAATAAACTATAATTTTCTCAGTATTAGATAATTTTAAATTAATGAAAGTTAATAACTAAATAGAGATTCATGTAT